TTTAAGTTAATATATATAGGTTATGCTAGTTACATGAAAGGACATATCATAACTGCTAACAAATAACAACCAATATAAAACTGAAACTAGAAATAACAGAAYAGCAAAATAACCACAGCTGTGACTAGATACATTCTACCCTACGGACAGAGTGGGACCACAGCTGTGGGGCCCACACCAATGTTCTCTACAGTCCTTTTCTCTTTCTTTTTTCTTTTTGATTCATGATGATATTAAAAAAATATCCTTTCACAACAATGGAATCATCATCTTTTCATACTTTACTTTTTTTGGTTGTTCTATTCTCAGTTTCTCTTTCTCACAACTATATGTGATTTGGAAGGAGGTAGCACAGATTTACTCTTTGGGTATAAAAGTGAGGTTCCTCTTTGGGTAAAGGCGTAAAGACTTTGGATTGCTTCCAGAATTACTCAGTCACTGACATTACAAGGACATGGAAGGGGGTAGCACAATCCTCTAGGGCAAAAGAAAAAGTAAGATTGGTGTGTAGAGATAGTTGTTAGTTGTTAGTGTGTGTGTGGTCCCACTAATATCTTTATTTTTATTTCATGGTAGTTATGGTAATTAGGCTAGACATATTTGTGTTATATTTAGTTCTCTTTCAGCAGGGGTATTTGTGTAACTCCACTAATGTTAAGTTACAAGCATATAAATACCTGATGGGCGGCAAGTTAAGTCAACCGCACCATTTTTATTCTTTTCTTCTTCTTTTTCTGTTCGTGATCTTCTTTTCTCTTCTTTTTCTACTAAACTTATATTAGAGAAACAAACAGTTTCTGGTTTCTTTTATCCAAGTTGGTACCAGATCTCATGTGAGCCTAATCCAGTCGGCTGCATGAGAACTTTCTAGGACTGGAAGCTGTGCATCATCACCTGATTCTTGGAGGTTGCTGGAGTCTTGAGTTGCTGCCCAAGTGGGTTGCATGACCCTTGGAGAGTGCCTGGTGACCAGGAAGGATCAGAAAAAATAGGTAAGTCCAAGTTTAGGGTTTAAACTGGAGATTGAAGGTGGTGGTGATCAGTTTCTTTTTGAGAAAGAACTTCATTTTATTGAGACCGACCTTGAATAAGAGCGGTTTAAACCACTATGGAAGCAGTGGTTGACATATTTATGTCCTCCCTGTTCGTTTCTCTAGGGTTTATGACAGATGTCTATTTTCCCTGTTCTATATTCTCTAGAGTTTTCCAAACCCTACGTTCAGTTCTTTGCTCCCAGACTTGTTTTTTGACTGTGGATGATTTCTGGGTGATTATAGTGAACTGTGATTGGTTTCTAGGTGATGATTCTTGGCTGTGAAGTGATTTCTTGGTGGTGATTCTTGACTGTGAATGATTTCTGGATGATAATTCTTCATTGTGAGTGATTTCTGGGTGGCTGATTTCAATCAGCTAAGGTTTTCTGCTTAACGAAAGGGCAGTTCAGGGGTTTACTTCTTGAAATAGTGACCTGTTAATATCTCATATATAATGGAGAAGGCTGGAAGTGAATTAAAGACTCAAGGGGAAGGTTTTTAGGTTCTGGAAGCATGACTGAAAGTTCTTTTCAGATTACTACTGTTAGGTTTGATGGAACCAATTACTTGGAATGGGCCCAATCAGCTATGATGGCCATTAGAGGTAGAGGCAAACTAGGCTGTGATTGGGGATATAAGGAAGCCAGCCAAGGAAGACACATCACATGCCAAATGGATTCAAGGGAACTATTTGGTGATGACATGGCTATGCAATTCAATGCAACCTCACATTAGCCGAAATTATTTATGGGCAAAAACAACCAAGGAGATTTGGGATAATATGAAAGAGACATACAACCCCAACCCCTTAATGTTGCTAGGGCTTATGAGCTGAAGTGTGAAGTGAATAATCTCAAGTAAGGGGAGAAACCAGTCTCCGTTTACCTTGTTACTTTGAAATCTCTGTGGCATGAAATTGACCACTTGGAAACAATTGAATGTGAAAGTTAGAGAGATGCAACAACTTATAGCAAGCTGATTGAAACAAACAGAGTGTTTGAGTTCCTAGTCGGTCTAAATTCAGAATTTGACATTGTAAGACAACAACTACTTATCAGGGAGAGTGTGACATTGTCTCAGGCCTATTCACTAGTGCACAGTGAAGAAAGTAGGAGAAATGTGATGTTACAGTTTCAGCCTATGGAATCAGCCTTAGCAGCAACAAAACCAAAATTTGGGGGAGATAAGGAAAGGGAAATGAAGAAGGAATATAAAAGGGAGATATTTTGTGATCATTGTAAGAAGCCGAAACATACTAGGGACACTTGTTGGAAGTTGTATCCTCATCTTATTCCAGTTAGACTCAGAAATAAGAAGGGAAATGCTAATGTGGCAGTTACTACTGATAATGCATCGTCTTCCAGCACAAGGACCACATCCCTAGATGCCCTAGCTGTTGTTCAAGTTGTCTTGACACAGTTGAAGAGTGAATATGGTACTTTTGGACTTTCATCTCAGTCACTAGCTACTATATCTGCTACTCCCACTTCAGCCTTTGCTCACTCAAGTACAAGAGATACAACATATCATGCACCAGTTCTAGGTTACACTAGACCTTTTTGGGTAATAGATTTCAGTGCTTTTGATCATATGACTAGTTTGTCTACCTTGTTTACTACCTACTGTCTATCCTCTGGTAGAGACAAAGTATCTATTGCCGATGGCTCTATTGTGCCTATCTCAGGCAAGGGAGACATTAGATTGTTTGATGCCATCTCCTTGTCCTCAGTTCTACATGTTCCTAAGCTTAGTCCTAACCTGCTTTTAGTTAATAGTATTACTAAGAATTAAAATTGTTCAATGACCTTTTTCCTTGATTGGCCGTGAGACGAATGGAGCCTATCTGCTTGAGCATCCACAGGGGAAGAATATTGAAGTCGGGAAGTTATTTGTTTCTTAGTCAGTGAATCGGATTATGATTTGGCATAATAGGTTGGGTCATTTGTCTTTTGGGTCTTTGAAATTTGTTTGAGTTAGTCCAAGTTTCTAGTTTGAGGTGTGAAAGTTGTGAACTTGCAAAACATTGTAGATCAACTTATTCTTTGGGCAATAAAAGAAGCAATGTTCCTTTTGAAATTGTGCATACAGATGTTTGCGGACCATACTACTACTATGGGGGGGGGGGTACAAATACTTCTTGTTGTTTGTTGATGATTGTACTCGTTTCTCGTGGATTTACTTTATGCACTCTCGAGATGAGGTCCCTACTCTAACTTAGGCTTTCCATCAGATGGTATTGACCCAATTTGAAGTCAGGATCAAAATCCTCAGATTTGATAATGCTAAGGAGTATTTTGCAAAATCCTTGGCTTCATATCTCCTTGATTATGGGGTCATCTATCAGAGCACTTGTTCTCGTACACCTCAACAAAATGGGGTTGTTGAGAGAAAAAAATGACATATTTTGGAGGTAGCCAGAAGCATCATGATGGACTCTAATGCTCCCATACGGTTTTGGGGGGTGCTATCCGTACAACTGTATACTTCATTAACAGAATTCCTTTACAGGTTTTAGACATGAGAACACCATTTAACCTCTTGTATCCAAACAAGGATTTGTTTACTATCCCTCTTAAAACCTTTGGATGTACTTGTCTTGTTCAAATTCTTGGACCTCATTGCCCCAAATTTGATTCCAAAGCTGCCAAATGTATCTTCCTTACAAAATCAAAAGGGGTATTGTTATTATGAGCCTGCTTCTGGTAGATGGTTTGTATCTATGGATGTGACATACTTTGAGGATGTGCCCTATTATCATAGGGTTTTTCCTTAGGAGGAGAGTAGTGAGGTGGGTAATTCAGCCCCAAAAGTTCCGTTACCTATTCTAGTCACTGAAGGGGAGAGTGGTGAAGAGGGTTGTCAAAAGTGCAGGGAATTGAGGATGTTTCACAAATGGTGGAGGCAGGTTGATTTTGGTTCTCAACAGTCCATGCCGATCCTGGTTCCTTCTACAACTCCAGATCCAGGTACTACCTTCACTACTAAGCCCACTGAGCCCACTGTTACAAATGATATACCTAACCCTGTTGAGCCTCAACCTCTTCCTTCATATGACCTTAGTCTCCCAATTGTAGTTCGTAAAGGGAAGCACCATTGTACTTCATCCATTTCTCATTGTATCTCCTAGTTTCTCCCTTATGATGGACTTTCACAATCCTATAGATCTTTCCTGGCCTCTATTGCTGCTATTCCTATTCCTAGAACAATGCAGAAAGCTTTATTGGTACTTGAGTGGAAAGATGCAATGAAAATAGAAATGGATGTTCTTATTAAAAACAATATATGGGAGTTGATTGACCAGCCTAAGGGGAAGAAACCTGTTGGGTGCAGATGGGTGTTTATAGTGAAATATAATACTGATGGCTCCATAGAAAGATATAAGGTCAGATTGGTTGCAAAGGGATTCACACAAACATATGGCATAGATTATTTGGAGAAGTTTTCACCAATAGCCAAGATGAATACTATTAGAATCTTATTATCTATTGCTGCAAATTCTCATGGCTATTGGTTCAGATGGATGCTTAGAATGCATTCCTCAATGGAGATCTACAAGAGGAGGTGTACATGGAATTGCCCCTTGGTTTTTATAGTGCAGAGGTAGGAAAGAAGGTTTGCCGACTGAGGAAGGCTTTATATGAATTCAAGCAGTCCCTAAGAGCTTGTTTTGATAGATTTAGACCGACTTTAGAAAAATTTGGCTATGTTCAAGCTCAATCAGATCACATTCTCTTCTTTAAGAAAATAGACTCCTCTTTGACTTGCTGTCTATGTTGATGATATTGTAGTAACAGGAAGTAAAATTGGTGAGATTGACTACCTTAAGCAACTTCTTCACCAAGAGTTTGAAGTAAAAGATTTGGGAGAACTACGTTATTTCTTGGGTATTGAGGTAGCTATATCTAAGCATGGCATCTTTGTCTCCCAAAGAAAGCATATTTTTGATTTGTTGGAAGAAATTAGGAAGTTAGGAGTTAAACCAGCCGACACACCCATTGAGCTAAACCATAAGATAAGTGCAGAAAGTGGAGAGCCTCTTGAAGATAGAGTTATGTATCAGCGGTTGGTTGGGAAACTTTTTTATCTTTGCCTAACATGACTAGACATTTCTTATGTTGTCAGTGTTGTTAGCAATGACATGCGTTCTTCCAAAACCACCCACCTTCTTGTAGTGGAAAGGATACTTGCTTTTTTGAAGAGATGCCTAGGGAGAGGTATACTCTTCAAGAATAATGGTCACATGAAAATAGAAGCATACATAGATGCTGATTGGGCTGGTTGCATTGATGACAGGAGATCTACATCTACCTCCGGGTATTGTGCTTTTGTAGGGGGGAATCTTGTTTCCTAGAGGAGTAAGAAACAGAATATTGTTGCTCGCTCCAGTGCTGAAGCTGAATACATATCTATGGCTAATGGAGTGGCAGAAGTGTTATGGCTGCAATCTTTACTTGATGAGCTGGGTGTTGAATATGAGAAGCCTTTGATGTTGATTGCGATAATCAGACTGCAATTAATATTGTTCACAATCCGATATAACATGACAAAACTAAACACATTGAAGTGGACCGCCACTTTATCCGAGAGAGTTGCATGTTGCATCTCAAGAAGTGATCCATTTTCCAAGTTAGGGTCGAATGAGCATAGCTTGGGAATCGAAGAATTAAAAGAAATAATCAAGCAGTGCTTAGTGGAGATGCACGTGGCACCCATGGCGGAAAGTTCGTTGAAAAGTCATAGGGAAAACCGACAATCCCCAGGTCTTGAGTAGTGTAGGAGCCAGGAAGATTTAATAAGGGCTCAGAAGCCAATCTGGACCATCCAACCCCGGATAGGGGTAACTCACAGGTGTTAGGTAGTGGGTGTGGGCCCAGAGCAAATAGTGAACCCAGGACCCTCCTCCGAAGGGACGATCTAAGTCTTCCAAACCAAAGTAAACCCGGTTGGTTCAGTTAGCCTCCAAAGAGAATCAGAAACAATTGGGACAAAAATGTTTGTATGCAGGCTCCTTCATTGGTGGCATCGAATGGTGGTGCCGGTGTATGAATCGTCCATCTTCAACCTTCTAGCCCTCAGCATGTGCCTGCTTCAACTCTCACGGAGGAAAAGTCGTTTGGAAGTGCATCACCTTGCGTTGGCGAGGTTGAAGAAACATTAGTTGAAGCTGCTCCAATTGCGATGGTGGATTCCAACGATCAATTTGAAGAAAGGGGGGAGGATTCTCATCTTCTTAATTCACAGGAGGGGGGGGGGAGTGAATTCGAATTGAGAGAAGTCGGTGACAGTCCAATGCAGTTGAGTAATAACAAAGGGAAGATACCTGATTCACTGTTTTAGGGAGGTAAGTCATCAAACTTATCTGTTTTCTCTTCTTGGGTTTCGTCGAAACTCTTGGGATTGGATAAATTTTTGGGAGTTTCAATGGAGGGGATGGAGGATGAAACAATTAAATACTTGGAGGGGATTGAACAATGAATTCTTTTGGAGAGAGGGAAAATGACGGCAAAGTAAGGAAGTAAGAACTCAAAGAGGAGTAGAGAGATGATGAGGCTGACTTGGGGATGAAATGATAAGGCTGGTGGCAATGAGGGGACGGTGAGGGGGGGAAGAAAGCTTAAGTTTAAGGGTGTTTTTGTTCTGATCTGTTTTTTCTCATGGACCTAAAAATATTATCGTGGAATATAAGAGGTTTGAGGTCGGGAAGGAGAAGAATTGCGTGTGTGCTTCTTTGAAGAGGTCAGGTTCGAAGATTATCCTGCTTCAAGAAACTAAATTGGACTGTTTAGATGCTGCAACTGTAAGAAGTATCTCGGGGGAGGGAGAGGTCAGATGGAAAGCAAAGTTGGCAGTGGGTAGTGTAGGAGGGTTGTTAAGTCTTTGGGATCCTTTTGTCTGCAGTTTAATCTCTTCTCATGTTAGGAATTTCTTAGTTTCTTTAATTCTGAAACTTGTTGATGGAAATATCTGCCAAGTCACAAATGTTTATGGCCCTACAGATGGAAATCTCCGGGAGGATTTTTGGGAAGAATTGGTTGAAGTGAGGGGTAATCTGTCTTATCCATGGGTTATTGGTGGTGATTTTAATGTTAATCTGGCTGCTGCAAAAAAAAAACTGGGGTAGGAGGTCAAGAGCAATGCTCCAATTTGCTGATTACATCAACAGATTTGAGCTGATGGACTTCCCTCTTCAGGGTAATAGATTTACTTGGACTAATAATCAAGATAATCCCATCCTTGTGAGATTGGACAGGTTCTTGGTATCCTCAAACTGGGATGAGCTTTTTCCTGATTTTAGGCAGATTGCCCTCCCTAGACCAATTTCAGACCATTGTCCAATTCAATTGGTCTGTGGCTTTAGAGGGAAGATCAGTGCACCCTTCAAACTAGAGAATGCCTGGTTTGAAGATGATAAGCTTATCCCCTTGTTGAAGACTG